TGCCTGCTTCAGTCCTGTTGGATGGGCCTCAGCCTCTTTTCTTCCCCTCCCCCGCTTTGCAATGGGGCTGTAGACTCTACGGGGAGAGGAGTGGAGGCAGACAGAGGTGTCTCCCTGCAGCAGATGTAGACACGTCTCTGTATTAATCATTCTCTCATTGAAGTTTTTAGCTTGGTAGTGAGTCCTTTTATATGGAAACTTTGTATTATGTCTTGGTAAAATAGTCCCTAGAACAAGTGAGGCAGAGACTGTCCCTGTGGGGTGAATGAGGTGGGAATGAATAAGGTGGAAGGTGAGCACCTCTGGGCAGCTGCAAAGATTGGAGAGGGGATGGAAGCCAGATCCAAGATCAATGAGCCCTGGGAAGTGGGCCCATTGAAAGGAGACTGGACCTGTGGATGCCTTGGGGGTCTGCAACAAGGGCCTGCTATGGGAAGCCCCCTCTTTGGATGTGAATGTGGCAGCATTGAGACACCACCCAAAAGCAGGCACCACCGACACTAACTGTTGGTGTTTTTCTAAAGGCCTGGAGTCAGTTGATTATGTAGGAATCTTAGCTTTCATTTAAAAAAAGTTCTCTTTACTTCTGGGCCTTACAGCTAAGGAGGAAAGCTTTAAAACATGAACCCTAAATAAACAAAAGGCCAATAAAAATCTAACATGTTTTCTTTTTAAAATATCTTATGATTTGTAGACCATTCTCATAACTTTGTATAGGCATTCCTTGTGATTTTTGGTTTGGTAATACTACTCTTTGATTGGTGAATTTAGAGAGGTCTCTCCCTTCAGTTTCCCTTTCCACTCTCCTTTTTTGTCACGGGTCATCAGAGAATCATAGAGACAATGGAGAGTAGGATGAGTCCATGACTATGGTTAATGACTGGTCAGGGTGACTAACTATTATCAGCCAGTGGTCTGAATGAGCTATCTACTGCCATCTGTTAATCAACTGTAGGAAAAGGATTCAGGAGCAGACCTTATTTATATAGACAACTTACTTTGCCACAGAGATCAGTAGACACACTTGCTGTGTCAAGGTGATCAATTTTGGCTCTTTTGGGTTGAAATTCACTTAAGACTTGGGAGCTGGGAGAATGAAATGTTGTTATCCATATTGTATGATTAAAAGACCTGAACTTAATATGACCTGGCTTAGGGTCTACCATAACTTGAACACTAAGCAGAGGATAGTGAGTCACATCTAAGTGAAAGTCACAGAAGATGGAAACAGGTTTTATTGCTGGTGGTGTAACGTGAAAGTCACAGAAGATGGAAACAGGTTTTATTGCTGGTGGTGTAACGTGAAAGTCACAGAAGATGGAAACAGGTTTTATTGCTGGTGGTGTAACGTGAAAGTCACAGAAGATGGAAACAGGTTTTATTGCTGGTGGTGTAACGTGAAAGTCACAGAAGATGGAAACAGGTTTTATTGCTGGTGGTGTAACGTGAAAGTCACAGAAGATGGAAACAGGTTTTATTGCTGGTGGTGTAACGTGAAAGTCACAGAAGATGGAAACAGGTTTTATTGCTGGTGGTGTAACGTGAAAGTCACAGAAGATGGAAACAGGTTTTATTGCTGGTGGTGTAACGTGAAAGTCACAGAAGATGGAAACAGGTTTTATTGCTGGTGGTGTAACGTGAAAGTCACAGAAGATGGAAACAGGTTTTATTGCTGGTGGTGTAACGTGAAAGTCACAGAAGATGGAAACAGGTTTTATTGCTGGTGGTGTAGAATCTATCTGGGAGTCCTCAATTATATATGACACTTTACATCCAGTGTTTAAAGGCAGAGTTGACTAGAATCAACTGAGAGTCCTTGTCTTGTCTCCATGATCACTTGAGCAAAAATCATTGATAAAATCTTGTGTAGACTGACCTTGGACTCAACATGCAGGCAGTGTGTTGAAGGGCAATGCAAAGGATGCAATGATGGTGAGGTACCATATTACCTAGTGAAATCATTGGTGCTGAAATCACTAAGGACTGGAATTTGACCATAGAACTGACGCTTTCTTAACAAAGACTCCATTTTTGCTATTTAAAAAGTAAATCGATGTAACAGAAAACTGCAACGCTCTCTGGTAACTTTTCAAAAATCAAACTTTAAACTTTATTGAAAAAATTGGATAGTTTGCAATTGAAAATATTTGACCTACACTTAAGGCAACTGATTTAATTTTGAGTAAAATTTTGCATAAGGATGGCATTTTTTTTGGAAAATGTTCAACTACATCTTGATCAGATCTACTTCTGATGTGGTATTTGTGTGTGGTTGTTGTGTGGGGGTGTGGTTTTTTTTGCTCAACAAAAAATCCTGGGGGTGGAGGGGACGCCGCCAAAGTGATTCGAATTGGGCCCCACACTTCCTAAAGCTGGCCATGCCTGAATGCACTTCCATTTGCCTTTATGTTGGGTAGTAACAGAAGGCCCTTTTGGATCTGAAACCCAGGCCTGCAGAGCTACCAGACAGATAGCCACTCTGGCCTGTCACCCAGTAGCAGCTGTAACCAATATGCACTCCACTTCCCATGATCCATGGACACAGACTGTGGGGAGTCCACTACTAGGATTTGACAGTAACCCTATAGCTCTTGGTTGGCTCCCTGCCTATATAATCTAAGGAATGTTCCAGGTAACAGTGGAAATCTTCTATAGCCACCATGACTGTTCCTGCTCTTGAATTCTGGGCTTGACTTCAGCTTGTTTACGATTTTGCTTCCAGACTTGGAGCCTGAAACCTGGCTCGAGTCCAATGAGCTCCATGTTACTGCGAGTCCCAGATTTGCCCCTGTTCTGACTCTTGGTCCTGATTGCTTTAGTTCGGGTCCTGGCGGGTGATGTGTGCCTATGGCTAGGAGGTCCCTACTATTTCAGATACCTGGCTGAATGGCTTCTTACAACTTATTTAAAGGAAGGATAGTGGCTACAGCCTTCTGTTCAAATGTGGTTTAACCCCACTCACAGCAGTAACAATGATCCTGTTCTGCACCATATCTGTATCCACAAGGCAAGCCTCCATTCTGTGAAAAAAACTCTACTCTTTTGTTTTAATCACAGAACATTGTGTCCTGTTTATCCTTTTCTCCTTGCCGGAGGCTTCTTCTGTTTTTCTTTCCCCTTTTACGCTCTCTCCCTCTCAGCCCACTTTTTTAAACTGGAGTCGGGTCCTATTTTTCTCTCCACTGGAGAAGGCTATAACCTTCAGCTTTAAAATAAAAAAAAAATTTCTCTGTCCTATACATCATGATAACATCTACAATTTGTGTTAGCAAGAAAATCCTCTGGTGCATTTATTTAAGGCTACATTGTAACTTTGCAATCTGCTCTGAGAAAGGAGTGCTGCATACCTGGGCCAAGCCTAGAGCATACCAATTAATCAACTCTCCTCTGTAATGCCAACGATAGTTACTTCCTATTCTGCCCCTCCTCACTTGTGCTGCCCAAAGCATTGTGAGGCACAATTAAGGTTTCATACATCTATCCTACATACCTGTCTGACACTCCCCATCCAAATGGAGGCTGGTCTCTTATAACCTAGTCCATGCAAAAGAACAAGGCAGTACTCTGAATCAGGGCCACTGAGTCCATCACACTAACAGTAAGTGTGTTATACTGAGGTTGCATATGTAAATGCAGAATACACAATTCTTGACACTGCAATGCATTAACACTCATTACTGAAGACATAAATGTATCTTCAAATAAATGTATGTTCATTTCTTCACGTACTATAGGATAACAAATGTTATACATTAAAATGTATAGGTTTTTTAAGGCCATGAGGGACAATTAGATCATCTAGTCTGGTCTCTTCTATAACAAAGGGCATTACATTTTACTCAGTCACCCTTGAATTGAATCAAATATATATTTATGACATACAGAAAAATAAATTATAGTGAAGTAAAAATGCTGTACTTTTCTCAAAGGAGTCTGATAGCCAGAATGAATTATGTTGACTAAACCCTAAGCTTTCTAAAGGAGCTCCCATCTCTAATTCAAATATTCAGTTCAAATGGTTATACATAAGAAATCTGTACCTACCATCTGTTTTTCCTTTCTTAGTTCAGTATCAAGAAGCAGCAGATCTTTCAAAAGAAGACTATACAGGCACAGCTTGACATCAAAACTAAAACAAAGCAGAGGTTTAAAATTCATTACCAGCAATCTACTTACACTGTGCAAAAGCACCACTGCAAAAACAGAGCTGATAGAAAATAGCTAACTTAGTATTTAGTGTTTTCCATCTCCAGTTGTGCTCTAATAACATTAACAGGTTGATTCCCATCCCACCTTGTGACATGAGTTTCACATTTCCCAATGTTGCAAGTTGGAAATATAAAGAGATAAATATATAGATATCTGCCTAGCCACACAACAATTCAGTGGCAGAGTGAAAATTAGAATGCTGACTCTATTCAGATTATTATAGCATAGACTATAGTATCTGAGTAGGGACCTATGTTCCCTCTTGTAGGATGAGTAGCCCCCAAGAGTTCCTGCCTCAAGTACCTAAGGCTTAATCCTGCAGGGTACTGAGCACTCTGGCTCCAATTCAGCAAAGCATTTAAGCATGTGCTTAATATTAATTGAGTTATCCCACTGAGCTGGGAACAATCTATTGGATACTTTGCAGGACTCATCTCACAGTACCGGTAATTAGTTATTACTCCAGAGCAAAGTACTATTCAGAGTAAGTAAAGGTTGAATCTGGCCCTAAATATGTGTGTAGTAGTATAAAGGACCAATTCCGACACCCTTACCCATATCTGTTTCTGTGGTATTACTGATGAGGCAAGGAACTACTCAAGCATGACTGAATCAAATCCTAAATTATTAGTATATAAAAAAAATGCTGTCCAGATATTGATCCTTAATAGGTGGGAAAGCTCTTGCATCCTGTTTTTAAAAGACTGAGAGATGCTGAGAGGAAAGTAGAAGTGGTACATTTTGTACTATGTGATTTGCTCATCCACTTTTTTAAATTTTATTTTTATGTATAGATTTGTATTAATGTTTTGAAATTCACAAAGACAATAAAGTGATTGTTATCATGAATGCATTTAGGAATGAAAGAGAGGGAACAAAAAATATTATTTTCAGCAGGGAACTTTGAAAATGTTGCTTATTAGGGATCTGATCCTATGGGGGGCAGAAGCTCTCAATGATTCTAATGGAAAGCATGCTCAGCCCCTGACAGGATTAAACCCTATGTGTTCAACGGCCTTTCAAAGCTAATACTATAGTAATGATCACAATACAATAAAAAGGAGTTCCTTGTGATAATGTGTTTTACAAAACCATTGTTGCCTGTACTTTTCCCAGAATTCTATCATAAATAAACCAATTTGCAATATACAATAGTACACCGTTTCCTTGGTTTCCAAGAAAGTTTAGCTTCCTATAATTAAGTTTTTATGTATGGACTGAATGCTTTCAACACATGGATTTAAGAACCCTGATTCTTCATCCATGCTAGATCTTTAACACTTTGTCTGAAAAAACGAGTGTGTGTTTTCAAACGACCAAAATTTATTGCAAGTTGTTTCTTTACCTCTCACAATTCAGAACTTCAGGGAAACAGGTCACCTTTAAGAAGGTTCGATCCTGAAATCTGTCATCACTAGTTGCAGAATGTATTGTAGTAGATGAACTACAGTCCTCCTTGTCTCCGTGACTAAGGGATCCAAGACTGCTTGATGTAGAAGTTTCCATTATCTGATTAGGCAGAATAGCTTGCTTTGGGTTCTCATGCAAAGATGGATTGGATGATCCATCTGCCAGGGGCTAGAGCAAAGAAAACTCATATGACTAATACTGAATAAGTTGATGAGCAGCTCTTGATACTGGATTGGATACTTTCACAATATTTTGCTGCACTATTCAACAAAACATCTATATACAACTTAAGTTTATAGCATAGGAATTATGATCATACTGCCTTATTAAGGGCAAAATCCTGAAAGGTGCTGAATGTCTCATCAGAATTGACTAAAGTGGAAACTGTATCAGACCCGTGTGAAATGCTGAAGATTTCAGTGTCTGTTGAGGGCAACTAGCACCATATAGGATAAGGCCCGTATCAATTTGCTGTAAACAAAACACTTCTGTCAGGTAAAAGTCTTAATAATCAAAGCTACAAATACCAGAGTTATGGACTAATTGGTCAACTGGAAACCATGGGGAACCTGAAGTGACCAATCGGGCAGAAGCAGATACACCCTCGCCTATCCCTTAGAGAAATACTGTATTGAGCCTGTATTGTATCTTAAAGGTAGGTGCATGTGGCCTTTCTATCCTCACTCCCACTTCCTACTCCTTATAGTACATAGTAGTCACTTACAGAAAGGAGGTGATAAACCCTGTTTTTTCCTCTCCCTCCTTTCCACAGCTGGGAAGGAGACAAGCCTAGAAGTTCAGAGCAGGGGAAAGAAACTTCCTGAGTTACTACAGGTTGAACCTCCCAAATCCTGGACTCTCTAGTCAGACAACATCCATGTCTGGGCAGGGCCACAGATGTTGCTTGACCAGACAACATGGGAGCTGGGGAACTCGGGATGGACCAACAGTGGCTGAGCCAGATAGCAGCTGGGGAACCCCTGACCTCTTGGGAAACCCCCAAGGTCAATGGGGCCAGGCGTGGCGCCGCCCCAGCAGGGGAATCCTAAGTGACAGCTGGGCCAGGCAGCTGGGGAGTCCCAGCCTCAGCCGAGAAACCCCCAGCTGCAGAGAGGCTGCCAGTGGGAGGAAGCCCAGCCAGGGAACCCCTGGCAGCAACAGGGCCAGTGGTGGCCAGGCAGCCCCTACTGGAACCCCAGGAAACCCCTGGTGGCAGAGGGGCTAGGGTGACTGGGCAGCACTAGCCGAGAATGCCCCGGCTGAAGTGGGGATGGCAGAGGCAGGCGGCCCTGCCAGGGGACCCCTGGGGAACACCCTGCGGCAGCGGGGCCGCAGTGGCCAGATGGTCCAGGCTGGGAGCCTGGGGGGACACTGAGGCAGCATTCAGGCAGCAGTATGAGGAGCCCCTGCTGGGCCAGCATTAGAGGGGGCAGGGCAGGGCAGGAAGTTCCAGGGAGAGGAGCCCGGGAGCAGGCAGTCAGCAGGGGAGCACTTGGCTGCCTCGACACTGCACTCTGGAGGAGCAGCTCAGTAGTAAAGTGCCACAGCCAGTATACTGACACTGGGATGTAAAGTGCCACAGCCAGTATATTGACAATGCCTCTCTCATCCTTGTAGCCAGGGGTTAAGAATAGGGATGTCAACGTGCAGACGACTACAAAATTAACTGATAAGCCTGGGTTTATCGTTTAAACTTGTCAACTACATGCCCTCCCCCACTGCTGTCTCTGTATCAGAGGGAGCAGAGTGGGGTGGTGGGTGGGAGATGGTTTTTATACCGGCTCCTTTTGAGGACTGGTTCCCACCTGCCACTCCATGCTGCTGCCTCTAATAAAGAGGCAGCAGCGTGGAGTGGCAGGCAGTGTTCCCTCTAACCTGGGGGCAGCACAACTTCATAGGTGATTAATCAGCTACGCCCAGTCAGAGGCTCAGGGCTCAGTGCATGGAGTTCACTGACTGGGCGGGACTGATTAATCCGCACAGCTTAGAGGGAACACTGGTGGCAGGGGGCTCCCCAGGAGTGTGGCTAGGAGTGCACTGTCTGCAGCCCTGCCCGTGGGGACTACCGAATAGTTGTGTAACCGTTAAAAGTTGATGTGTTACACGACTATTTAATTCCATGCTATCTAACATCCCTAGTTCAGAAGTGCTCTGGCAAAAAAAACAGCCAGCTGGGGCACTCGGCTGCAATGGGAGGAATGAGGTGCTCCCAGACTGGCTCCCAAGACTTCCTGCAGGCAGCCAGGCAGGTTAAAGGGGCTGGATGGGGGCGTCCCCCTCCTTGTTTGGAACTGCCATGAGCCCCCATCCCCGGGGACCATTTTGGGGCAGGAGAGGAGGAGCAGCAGCTGTAGATACCAGGTTGCTGCTGTTCTTCTCCTTCCCTTGACTACTAGGGAGCAAGGGGAAAGTGCACAGCCTGCTGCATTCCTCTCTCTCCCAGCTGCCCAGGGAGGAATGCAGCAGACTGTGCACTTTTCCTCACTCCCTGATAGTCAGGGGAAGGGGAAGGAGAAGGGCCCCAGCAAGGCCCTTCCTCCCACCTGCACTCATCCCAACATACCCAGTCCACTGCCCTGAACGCCTTCCCCTGACTCCTGCACCCAAATACCCCCAGCTCCCTTCCCTGAACCCTCTGCCCTAACACCTCCATCCCCACATCCCCCATCCCTGACTCCTGAACCCAAATACCCCCAGTTCCCTTCCCTGAACCCTCTGCCCTGACACCTCCATCCCCACAATCCCCATCCCTGACTCCTGCACCCTCCCACACTCCCAGCTCCCTACCCTGAGCTTCTTCACCCCCAAGCTCCTGCCCTTACTCCTGCTACCCTCCGCCACATTTCCAGCCCCTGTACTGACCCCACCGCACTCCACTCCACACTTAAATTTCTTATAGGCAATGTTTTACTACACACCCCTGTCCTCCTCCCCTGAATGCCCCCCCAGGGGGTGTGACATGATAGTACATGTAAGAAACGTATTATTTTCATCCCTACAGGGGGTAGAACCAACTGCTTGGCTCCAGCTTGGCTTGCCCTCGCTCCAAGCATTCTGCCCTGAGGAGCATTCCATAACGACTTGTTCAGAGTTACAAACATTTCAGCGTTATGAACAATGAAGTGCCTGTAACTGTGAGATACCACTATAAATTCCTTCCACTGTTTCTTGCTCTACATTTTACACAATCGCAGAATGGTTGCTACTTTTCATAAACATACTTACCCTAAATTTTTGATTGATCGGATAGACGACTTTTGCTTTTAAGGCAAAGGCTGTGATGTTACTGTTCAAAGAAGACTCATTTCCCTGTATGGAAACAACAGAAAAGTACTGTAAGGTTTGATAAGAACAGCAGCTGTTATTAGATCTTCAGCAGAAGTTCCATGCAGCCCTTTTGGTTGCATAACTTAAGAATGTTATTGATCATAAATTATCTTTGAACTTATACTATTAAATGAACCATCTTCTCATGGTCCAAGAGAGATTGTGAAGCCCAAATAAGAGGAGGACCTTCTATGGTTTTCTAATTGTTTTGGAAATGTATTATCAAGGCTCCATCACCAAAAAGGATTTTACTCTAGTAAGTAATGAGGCCATAGGTTGTTTCATGGCACATTTTCCTTCCCTTTCCCCCTACAATGAAAGAAAAATCTAGTATTTCTAAGAGATTTTGAAACTACTTTAACAATGGAGACTCCTCAGGCTAGGCTACTATGGTCTGAATAGAAATTTATATATACATTTACATTCAGAAACAACAGAATAAAACTGACAGTATTTTTCCAAGAACGACTTAAAACATAAATACCGGAAAACTCTTAACCGTGCCCCTGGGAAAGACAGAGGTTCTTTCAAATGGATTTTTTTTTAATAGATAATATATTCTGTTCAGTCTGTCGGCAGCAAATTATAGTCCAGCAGATTTCCTGTTCGTGTTTTTTATTTCATTTCGTCTCAATGCATACAGTATGGTGATCTGCAGTGTGTCTGGGTTATACAATGTACCTTGGGAATGTGAGCGGCAAACAATAACTGAGACTGTTGAAAACAAAGTTTCCAGAGGTTTTTACACTCTCACATTCCTTGTATTACTAATAGAAAAATCTGGTTTGCTGAAATTTATGCAGTTGCTAGTTCAAGGATTTCTGTAAGAAATGAGGAGTCGCTAAGGGAGCCTGAACTTAAACAGTGAAAGGAGCAAATAGAGAAAATCAGAAGGAGTCATGCACTGATGGTTGCACATAATGTCTGTTGCACTGCAAAACTTTACTTTTTGCTTCAATAACATAAACAAAGACACAGCATGCCAGATGGTTAAGTAGTCACGGCTCACACTGAGCAGTCCCACTGATTTATATGCATATACACATGAGGTAGGGTACTACGGCAATGAATAACTATTAACCTAACCTAGCATTTTTCAGCTATGCTGGTTAATGAATTGGTGGCTTAGCCTTTGTACACCTTTGTCAGCAATAATTGCAACACATTTTTTTTTAAAAGGCTTGGTAAGGGAGGTGGCTTGTGGGAAAGCCCTTCAAATAACAAGGCTCTACATTAAATGTGCTATAGAAGTGCTGTCATATTTGCAATATGAGCATACTATAGAAATTAATGTAGTGAAAGGTATGATTCTGTCCTTCAATGGGACTCTGGCTATGTATGAAGCTACAAATGTTTCAAAGTGTTCGCAGAAGAAAAACTAATAATTGATATGGATATAAAATATTTGCTGTTTACTAGTCCAAGAAAGCTCAGCTATTTAGTCATAAATCTGTCACTTATCTTGGAAATGTCTGAAATAAGAATTCATTGCCTATCAGAACTTTACAGTACATTTAAAGTGTCTATAACAAGTACTGGCTACAATTAAAGTGCCTGTGTAACTACTTCTATTCACAAGCTAAGGACTGATCCAGCTAACTAGGACTGACATGCTGTGGGTGAGCATAACTTACTTTTATAGGCAGAATGAGGGGTACAGTTTGACTACACATTTTTAAAACAGTTGCATTCCTGACTCACCTTCCTGTGTGGATAGCAGCCAAGAACATCAAAGTAAGATTGATTCCTTTATACATCTTGTGGGTATTGCCATTCTGATCAGCTCCTGACTACTAGAGTAGAGCATAAGGGCACATAAGCCCTTGGTCCCACCATGGGGATGCTCCTGACCAATCTGACAGTCCTGAAAACAGTCATATCAGCATGTTAGTTGCAACTGGATTCTGTGTTGCTGCTGAGGTGAGTGTAAAATTAGCTCCTTTCCCATCTACTTGTCATCTATAGAACCTGGCCTTTGTATCTAATCATGGAGCTGCAGTAACTTTGCAGAGCAGCCTGTGAGGGGAGAAAATCTGGGAAGAAGGGGAGGTTCAACCTGTATCAAGTTTCTGGAAAAATGTATCTTCAAGCTTTGTGAAATGCCTTTGCAATCTGGTCAGACTCCCACTATCTAAAGAAAGCAGTAGAATACTAACACAGTGGTTTTGTGGTTCATTTTTTCCCATATGCTGGATATTTTTTGCCCTAGCCGTTTCTCAAGAAAGAATCGTAGTGAGTTCAATGGGAGTCTTGATACAAACAGTGGTTCTCATTCTTCCGGCACTACTGCACCTCTTTTAGAAGGCTGATTTTTCTTGCATGCCCCCAAGTTTCCCTTCACTTAAAACATCTTGATTCCAGAATCAGATATAAAAATACAGAAGTGTCACTGTGCACTATTACTGAAGAAATGTTTACTTTTCTATTTTAAAAATATAATTATAAAATAATCAATGGGAATATAAATACTGTACCGTATTTTCCGGCGTATAAGACGACTTTTTATGCTAAAAAACATCCCCCAAAAATCGGGGGTCGTCTTATACGCCGGGTATACAGGCAGTCCCCGACTTGCAGGTTCGAACGGGGCTTATCTCGCCCCGGAGGACACAGACTGCGGGACCTCGTGGTCCCGCCACCCGTGTACTCCGTGGCGAGAAAAGCTGCTCCGCGTCTCCCTGGTCTGCAGACCAGGAAGACGTGGAGCAAAGCTGCGGAGGGGCTCGGGCAGCGGGGCAGCCCAGACGCGCCGCGGCTGTCCCACTGCCGGCGTCCTCAGATCCTGCGGCTTTGCTCCCGGTGCCTCTGGTCTGCTGGGGACCGTCTCCAGCAGACCAGGGACACCGGGAGCAAAGCCGGGGAGGCGGAGGGGCGCTGCCGGTTGGCCTCTTAAGGGGGAGTAGTCTTATACGGCGAGTATAAGACGAAAACCTATCTTTTAACTAGAAAATTAGGGGGTCGTCTTATATGTCCTGTCGCCTTATACGCCGGAAAATACGGTACTTATATTTCAGACTATAGTACCTAGAGCAGTATAAAGAAGTCATTGTCAGCATCAAATTTTAGTTTGTACTGACTTTGTTGGTTCTTTTTATGTAGCCTGTTGAAAAACTAAGCAAATAACCAGATAAGTTGTTGTACCCCACCCCCACAGAAGACTTCTGTGTACACCAATTGAGGCCTTAATGTTCTAGTCCAGTGATTTTCAATCTTCTCTAGTTTTGTGGATTTGTGCAACTAGATTACATGCTCCTCTTCAGCTGAGAATTTTAATAATTTAAAGTCAAATGAAAATGCTTCAAGGAAATACCAAATTTGCAATGTTCTGGGTAGTTGTGGCTAAGAAGTGGAAGTACTGGCTACTGCCCTAAAATTCGTAATATGATGGTACAGTGGGAAATAATTCCAGTGGATCTGAATGGAGAGTGAACTAATCTTTTGAGGTATCAATAGCTTCTAGGATCAGAACCCTTATTTCTTTGTTCATTGGTTCTCAGATTTACTACACTAAGTTTCCAATCTCTTTATTACAGCATTTGTATGGGAATTATTGTAATTCTTGAAAGGCCAAATTCCAAGCCTGCTGAAATCAGTGACATGTGGATCAACTGCTAAGTAAGCAGGCTAAATTATTAGACATCTACAAAAAGAATAAACTCTAAGTCCAGTACCATTTCCTCCTCTGACATTTGAGCTTCTGTTTTCTTCTTTCTCGGTGAGGGTGCATATTCATCAAGATGTCTGCGTACATCTGAATGAAAGCTTTCCAGAAGCCTTTGGGAGTCATCTTTCTGAAATCCCAAAGCAGAAAAAAAAATCAACACCTTGAGTCATCATGGCCTCTTAGATAATTCTGTTTTATTCATAGGATATCCTGTGTAAGTTACAAAGTAAGTTCAAATGATTATTTTAATTTAACTATTCCAATTTTCAGAAAATGAGATTATAGACTGAGGAAACATTTTTTAGTATCATTGGTTTCTTTTTGCATTTACTGTCCTCCCCCAGAGCTGGAGACTTGGCCCGTGGAAAGGATAAAGACTCTGACTATAGCACATTCAGTGCTTAAAAGTCTTCTTCCTACCTTCAGCATCAAATGATTGCAGTATGGAGGAGTCACAATGGAACTACTCATATGATGAAGTCACACAGGTGCACAAGGTGTTTTGGACCCTATGATGGATGGGAGGAGTACTGCCTATAAAGGGTTGCACTCAGAGAATCCCTGAAAAAATCCAGGAAGTGTTGGCAGGGAGCCAGGAAAGCCAATAGGAAGAAAGTGTTGCAATTTGAACTGAAAGGGGATCTGCCTGATTTCTTTTCTTTTGGGAAGTTTAAACCAAAAGCTGAAGGGAAAAAAAGATGAATTGAATGAGGGAGGGGCATCATGCCTAGAAAAGGAATATCTGGGCCTAGAATTGGACTGGACCTTGGAAATATGGATATGTGAGTAGATAGGGATTATTTTCAGTTAGACACAATCAGGTTAATTTCCTTGTTTTGAGTTTGGTTGAACTCCTCTATGAGGAGTCCAGATGCTCACCCCCCTACACTATAACTGAAGCTAAATCCCAGAGAAACAATTTTCTGTATTTTAATTTGTTTTCCTAGTTGCTTTATAACACCAAACAATCAAGTATGCTTTACCAAGTATATCTTTTGGTTTTGTTAATAAAATCACCCTTTTTAAGACTGTGATCTGATTCTTGTGTCCTGGGATGTGTAATGGGAGGTCTGTATATGCCTGTCTATGACAGAGGACAACTATCAGAGATTACAGTTTGTTTCCTTTTTGTTTCAATCTCTCTTGTGGTAAAAGAGTTTGGGGTACCTCTCTGGAAGCAGTTCCCAAGTGGCTTCTTCCTTAGTTCAAGAAAAAAGTTTTGTTTTGTTTTGTTTTTTTCACTTGGGTGGTGGCAGCATACCTACCACCATCAGGGGATCTGTAACTTTGAGGACCTTTTAAAACAGAAGCCTCTAGAGCAGGAAAGTTCTTCTTCACACAATGCACAGTCAACCTGTGGAACTCCTTGCCTGAGGAGGTTGTGAAGGCTAGGACTCTAACAGAGTTTAAAAGAGAACTAGATAAATACATGGAGGTTAAGTCCATGAATGGCTAAGGAATGGTGTTCGTATCCTCTGTTTGTCAGAGGGTGGAGATGGATAGCAGGAAAGAGATGGCTTGATCATTACCTGTTCAGCTCACTCCCTCTGGGGCACCTGGCATTGGTCACGGTTGGCAGACAGGATTCTGGGCTGGATGGACCTTTGGTCTGACCCAGTATGGCCATTCTTATGTTGGGGCGGGGAACCTTTTTTGGGTCAGGGGCCACTCACCCACAGAAAAATCAATTGGGGGTCGCACACAAGGGAGAAGTGAAAAAAAAACCCTCACTGTGGCCACCAATAGAGCAGAAATATACTCCTTACATTCCCCTCACATGCCAGAGCTTAAGGGGGCCCAGCCTAGTAGATTTTGTACACTCCAGCCCCCAGGGAAGCAGCTGGGGGGCTGTAGCACCAACACAAGCTTCCCAATGCTGGGGATACCTTGAGCGTCAGGGGCCAGATCCAGGCAAGCCAAAGGCCACTCTAACCCCCAGGCTTGAGGTTCCCCACCCCTGCTTTATAGGCATGGTGTTTTAAGGTCTCTTGCCAGCCCCTACCTTCTGCATTAGATGTGCCAAAGTAGGGAACAGCCTTGACAGATCCAAATAATGGACGAGGAAAAATGAGTGGCAATATACCAAGCACCAGGTGTGGGAGGGATAAGATAAGCTACATGTTTGAAACCATCAATGCTTAGGAAACTCCAACCAGTACAGAACTCTGTACTGTGTAGTCTCAGCAATATGTGCTACAGCATACACACCAAACCTGTCCAAAACTCTCAAGACTTGTTTCTCATAGACTGTTGCATCAAGTTCCAGGTCTTGGTCTAAGTACTCAATTGAACTGAAGGCACTCAAAAACCTGGGTCTCGGATATTTAAAAGATCAACCAGAGCCCTGGGAGGAGGATCATTGTTACACGCTGCTCCTCAGTGAAAAGTTCTCTAATAAGGGTAAATTTCATTGATGCAGATGAAAGACTTTTTTTTTTTTTGGTGGGGGGGAGGGAGAAGAGGTCTGAGACTATGGAAATAACTCCACCATATACTAAGGACCATGACCATCACCAACTTCTACTCCACGTGCAAAGTGCATTTCTTTGAGCTGCTTTCTCTAACAATCATATAGCAACATGTATATTAAACAAACCCACTACTAAAACTCTCCATTGTCTCCACAGAGAAGATATGAGAACAAATTATACTTGACATATGGTGAACTATTGGAAGGCACACAGATACGGTGGTAGTGAGCCTAATAGTGTAAGAACATATAAAACATGTGATACTATGGTTACTTATCAGAGGGGTAGCCGTGTTAGTCTGAATCTGCAAAAGCGACGAGGAGTCCTGTGGCACCTTATAGACTAACCGAAGTGTAGGAGCATAAGCTTTCGTGGGCAAAGACCCACTTCGTCAGATGCATGTATGGTTACTTAGTTTAGGCATACTTGATGGCTCAAGGTTTTATTGAGGGAGAAGGGGGAAAGGAGAGAGAGGCTCTTCAATCCCTGCAAATGCCCTTCAACTTCCCTATACTGACTTATTTTCCATCTTCTGCCTCATATCTCCATTTTAATAACTATTTGTTGAGCTGTTCAAAAGTTATTGCCTATTCTACTTTCCACCTCAGTCCAGTCTTGTTATAAATTCTCCTTTAGTATTTACTTTTGCAATATAGTATGTAATTAGTTATTTTAGTACCGTTTCATATGACTCAATCCTTTCAGCCCCTATTTATCCTAATAATTTGTTTTCCACTGACTTCCCTCCCATCAGCTCTCAGATACTGAGGTGTCCAAAATTATACATCATATTCTATGTACAGTTTTATCAGTGCTAGCTAGTGTGTTGCTTTTTAAAAAAAACGTTCATTTTTCTAGTATGGTGACAAAAGGCTCTTGCACGTGTAACCCAAAAGAGGCATTTGCTTTTCCTGTCTCATATTTCCTTGCAAGTTCACATTCAGATGGCCACTTTCAGCCATAGGTATTTCTCAATACTATTTTACAAGCATTTCTTTCCCATTGAACACCTATAACTTGGATTATTTATCCCCAGTGAATAAACTTGAATTTTTCCAGGTTGACTCTCTCTATTTCCTGCCCACATTTATAACCCCATGAGTTCCCTCCTTTCCACTCCTTTTTGTCCTTCCAATGTATTATGACAATAGTTCAAGTGACAGGTACCTCTTTTTAGAGATAATTAATAATAATACTGAATAAAACATGGTCTAACAACCATCGCAGTACCACCTCATCACACTAATCTACCAGAATCTCGTAACTGGACAAACTTCTCTACAGAGGAAGTTTGTAGGCACAAGGTAAAACTGACTGGAGGGTATTACAGAAGAACATAATACTGCTGGAAGGCACTGCAATAATGTCTTCTTTTTACATACTCCTAGAACCCTGCAAATCTGCAGATATCTGGGGATGTGAATATCTGTGGCTCATTTTTGCAGATACAGATGTGGATACAAATTTTGCATCCACACAGAGAGGCTCTCCTACAAACTCTTATCAAATGACCATGGTTTTGGAGAAACCAGACAGGCAAAAAGCCCAAAGAACAGCATTTGTACTTAGCTATATTGAACCAACAGTGACAGCAATATAAAAATACCATCTGTTTGGGAAAGAAAAATGAACAATTGAATCAGAGAAGTTTCCACCTCCATGGGATGCATTGATCTAGTAACTGAAGTACATCCATTACCTGGAAAAAGCAGGGCTTCAAGCAGAGTTTCAAATCTTCCACTTGAAAGCAGATGGCTACAAAGGTATTCCTCTCTCCCACAAGGCCTAATTATGATCAGCCCTATTGTGTGTGTTTGTGTGTATAGCAGGTTAGCTATGTAGTTCTAAAAAGAGATGTGGCTAACAAAAACAAACGACCCATTGAATGCAGAAAGAGCACTCTGTATGCCATTGGCTCCTGTGTCAATGCCAACCACTGTTACATTAAAGTAACTCAATACCATATAGGTCTAAGTCTGATGTAGAGGAAGAACCAACCAAAATAAATCAATAATTGTTCCCAGAAAATAACTTGTAGTATAAACATTGTGATAACAAGCAAGGAACAGCTAGGATTAGTCTTTTAACAAAAGTGAAGATGTGCATATTTCCCCAAAGAAGTCTAAAATCAGACAACTGCATGTTAAACAACAGAACATGTGCTTTGGAAAACACTAAATACTAGTTTCACCCCATAAAATGTATTCAATATGCCTCGTCATTTTTCTACCTCATGCATAGTGTCTAGGAACATTGTCTCAGTTGAAAAAATTCTTCCATTAATTTTGTTGCTTTATAAGTGGCATTGTTCTCATTTGTTTCTAGGAGAAGACAGCTATTCTGTGATCAATGTTATTTCAGGAAGACTTCTACAAACCAGGCAAGTTTTCACTTGTGATCTGCAAGTGAGAAGATAGAGCCCTTGTCTGTACAAAAGTCTCAGAGGGAAGCCCTGTTAGCCTGTAACTTTAAAAACAAGTAGTCCTGTAGCACCGTAGAGACAAACATATATATAGCTAGTATCATGAGCTTTTGCGGGCAAAACCCACTTTTTCAGATGAGCTGGAGTAGAAAAAATGGGAACCCAGAATTTATAACAGAAAAAGAAGGGGGGGGAGTACCTGTCAATTGTAGTGTCGTGCTAATGAGGCTAATTGAGTGGACTAGTAATGTCTGCACAAGAAAAGTTGCAGGAAATTAGCTAAATTATTTTTAAAGGAATCTAAATAAACAGGTCTCTCACCTGTACAGTGCCTGCAGAACACCACATAAACTGGTGTAAATCCCCTAACCGACATACTTAAATGAGTGTAATCCTTGCTTAAATCCCATCTTGTGCCAGTAAATTACAATAACAATAACTACAATAACAATAACTACAATAATTACAATAACAGTAAAGTAATAACAAAATCTATTGCTACATTTGAACTCGGCAAAAGAGGTTGAAGAAAACGAAACACAACAAAAGGAGTCATCAACAATCAAATTTGCGGTTCCAGAAAGTTCACATCCTTCAGAAATAGCAGGCTGTTCTCAAACTTCTGTCTCCACTCTGAACTTGTTCAAGCGTCCATCCCTGAGACGTCTTCAACCATCACAGGGAAATGGAGATAATTCAAGCACCAATTCTTCAGAAGATGACAACTTCGAAAAGGAATTGGATAAACAAGAAAGACGCCGGCAAGTTTCTGCGATTCATAATTGTAATGAAGCATTATTCGAGAGAAACTTTCGGGAAGATTGTGAGGCGATGGAGTCTATTGGTAGGCTAAAAGTTAAGAATGTTTTTGAGGCCATTCACAGCTACCCACACCGCATTCAGGCTCCCTGTAGAATTGCTTCAAGCATGCCAACAACTCAAGCTAGTGTAGAGCGACTGTTTTTGGCGTTAAAGTTAATTTTAAATGATCTGCAGCAGGCTATGAAAGATGACCTGATCATTGCCATAATTTTTACAGATTGAATTATGAATGATTCTAGTTTGTATCATTGTTGATGACATTTAAAGTGTTTTAAAACTCTGAAAATGTTTTTTTCAAAATTACAGTATGCACTTTTTTATTTAGTTAAAAATTCATTTGAGTCGGAGTGCAGAGCAGAGCTGAAGCGAGCTGGAACAGTCACTATTGGTTCTGGAGCGGAGCTAGAGCAGAGCAATTCAAAAATTTGATTGCTACAAATCCCTGTCTAAAAATGACAATATTATGGCAATTTCAAAAACCAGCTGGCAAGAGAAGTTGCAGAACTTTATTTCATTTACAAGTTTGACGGCTGCAATAACAGTTTAAACAAAGACCTTAACTGGCTGGCCCTCTATATTCCACACACTAATGACCTAAAAAGCCAAGCACCAGGTACTTAGAATCAACTCTATCAGCCTCATATACCATGGACACTCCAATTAACAATATATTTTTTTCCTTTTCTTTCCCTCCCCATCCGCTCTCTTTCTTTGCTATTTATTTGTGCCTTGGATCTCTTAACTCCATTCATCTGAAGAAGTGGGTTGTGCCTGTGAAAGCTCATATCATCTACATTTTTGTTAGTCTCTAAGGGTACGTCTAGACTACAGGCTTCTGTCGACAGATACTGTCGACAAAACTTCTGTCGACAAAGAGCGTCTAGACTACATTGAGTTCTGTCAACAAAGCAAGCTGCTTTGTCGACATGGTAGTGTGGACGCAAAGGACAGTTTACATGCAATAACACCTTCTGTCGACAGAAACTCTGTTGACAGAAGGCGTTATGCCTCATAAAATGAGGTTTACCAGCGTCGACAAAACTGCTGAGTTCTGTCGATGTTATGTTGACAGAACTCAGCGGTAGTGTGGATGCAGGTATAGTTTTGTCGACAAAAGTCCACTTTTGTCGACAAAACTCTGTAGTCTAGACACACCCTAAGATGCTGCAAGACTGTTTGTTTTTAAGTTTACTCATTGTAGCCCTCTGTTATATAATGGTCATGCCAATTCGCTTTCTGAATATGATCTGAAGAAGTGGGTCTGCCCCACGAAAGCTCATCATAATAACTTAAGAATAATAAACTATCTTGTTAGTCTTTAAAGTGCTACATGACTGCTTCTTTTGTTTTACCAAGATCAGACTAACACGGCTACCTCTCTGTGACTATTCATAAGTAATGTTACCAAGACATATATGTGGTGGCCCAAAAGGTATCATGTTGGTCAAAGGTAATGGATTTGTGTAAGTGAAGACTTCAATTTGCTAGCATGGCAATGGTCTAATTCAGGAGCTCAATGCCCAAACCCAGCTGGACCTAGCTGCATTCAGTTGCTTACTGTGCTTTTTGTAGTGTTGTTGCTCCGTGATACACTGGGATTGGCATTACTGAGGTAGATTGGAAGAAGCTGCATATGTATTAAATACAGATGGTAAAACTGAGGAGTGAGCTCCTCCACCTTCCTGGGGGCAGTGGGATTCAGGCTTCTGGCTGCAGCCCTGGTGTGGTGGGCAGGAGGTTCCAACTGTGTAGCTTCAAGCTCCAGCTATACAGCAACGAGCCTTGTCCCCTAGCTCACCACTTTTTTCATTGTCTCTGGTCCCTGTGTCCTCCTCCCCAGCCCTGGGCATTGGTTGTATGGCATCAGATCCATCCCTGGCTTCAGGCCCTGGGGCCCCAGGACCTCAGGGTCTAGTCATTGGCCTTTGATCCCGGGCTCATTCCCTAACACCTGCTGTGCAGTGAGGAGCTCTGTCCCCTAAGATCTGGCCATGGGGCTTTGAGCTCTGACCCCAGGCTCACTCAATCATCCTGGGCTGCAGCTGTGTCCTCTGGCCTGGGGCTCCAAATATGCAGTAGCAGGTCTGGATCCTGGCCACAGGCCTGCGAGCTTCAGTCCAGCAACTAGATTTCCGCCCTGGGCTTGCTCCATCCTCCCCTACCATCACTGCTGGCTCTCCTGCCATCACACCTGGCCCCTGCTACCTCCCCACTCACCTTGTAATCGAGGACGTAATTTGTGCCCAGCTTTTCAGGACTGAGTACATCTGCTGTGAAAAGTGGTATTTCTATGTTTGTTAATATTACTTGTTAGCTAACTGGCATGTCTGTTTCTGTGAAAAATGAAATTAAGAAATATAAAAATATTGTGTTTTCACAGCAGCAGACTTACTAGTAGCATGTCTAAAAAACAAAAGCAAAGAAACAAAGGACAAGAACATGCAAAGCACCTTACTGTATTTTTGTTTCTGTTCTGTTTAGATCTAGTAAAGAATGGAGATAACTACATTATTTTCAGTATTGTTTGAAAACCCCCCTACATAAATAAATTACATGATTTGTACATATTTATTTGTTTTTCCTAATGTCAATTAAGTATGTTAGGAAACACAGTAAGAGTGACCAACAGCAAAATCTGGTTCCTGCACTCTGAGGCCACCTAAACATTTGGGCTACGTCTACATTGGCATCCCTTTCCGGAAAAGGGATGCTAATGTAGACGTAGCCTTGTTGTGAGAAATCTAAATCTAGATTCATCTGGACACAGGTACCAAATCAGAGGGGTTTTTGGTTTTTGGCTACTTTCTTGTACCAGGCTGTGTTAGTGTTCCATGTGGTAGAAAATTACATTGATTCTTCATATTGGCAGTGTAATTTCTGGGTTGGTGGACAAAACTCAGCTGGGTCCAAAAGGCTTCCAATGCTGAATCCAAGGTCTGTGGCATTGCTGCTCTGAGCCATGTCTGAGTCATCCTGAAGTTTTATGATGCTGCAGAATGGCTGAACATGCATTTTTATAGCTAGTGAAATTTGGACAGGTGGGGCCAAATACTTGCTGGATTCAGGAGGAATCAGATTCTGGGGTGCTGTGCACTACATGATGCATTGGTTACAGGAATGTTTTTGAGCAGCTGGAGTATATGCATTTGTTCTCTAATTAAAGGAAGTGGAGCAGTGAGGGCCAACTGCTGCATCTGACCAGATCCAACTGTCAGACATGGATTTTGTAGCATTATTGTATGTGGGTGAGTGGGGGGCAGATTTGTGCTGCCAGCTGGATCCAGTAGAATCCAGGTGGCAGCGGTGGGGTTTTGCCATGCTGTTGCACCACAATGTGTAATGCTCCAGGTCTTGCTATCACAGGATCACGTACATTAATTCTCTGTGTACATATTTGAGGTCGGAAAACCGGCTGGGATCCTGTCTTGCTGTTATGCCTCAGAGACTGCTTTCGTATTTTGATGAGCGGGAAGAGTGGCCCGACTTGTTCTACTTTTAGGCGGTGCCATTTGGGATGCGGAGGCCAAAACCTGGCAAGATCAGGTCTGAGCTAGAGTTTTTTCCCCAATCCCGCTCCGTTCGCCCGAAGCCAAAACCTCCTCCTGCAAAGACCCCACGCCGCAGACACACGTACCTTGCCCTGCAGAAGAGGCCGGATCACATAGAAACCCAGCAGGAACGCGGCCCCGACGCCTAAGGCGACCCCCAGCAGCACCGCGGGCGCCAGCAAGCCGGGGACCAGCTGCAGGGATTCCACCCAGAAGTGCAGCCCGATCTCCCCGCGGCAGGGCCCCGGCGGCGGGGGAGGGTCAGAGGCCATGAGCAAGCTCGCGGGGAGAACTCGGGGCGCCAACTCTGCCCGGGACCGGGGAGAGTCCCCGGGCTAGACCCGGAGCCGCGCAGCGAGCTCCGCGAGCCCAGGGCATGCCGGCCGGCCG